GATAAGCAGAGATGTTGTTTTTAATGAAAATGAATTTCCTTGTTTACCTTTACATGTTCCTATTCCTGAAAATAATGCTCAAAATGAGGTGGAGCAAATGCCTATTATTAATCAACCCAAATTACTTTCTGAAGAAAAATTGAATGATACAATTATTGAAAATCAAGATGAGATTATTCCTAATGAGGTGGAGCATGATATGCAGGAAATAGATAACATGCATGATTTGAATGATTATCAACTCACTAGGGATAGAAATAAAAGAACCATTAGGAAACCTGAAAGATATAGAGATTGCAATTTGATTGATTGTAATATGTCTGAGTTTGCCTTTAATGTGTTTGAATCCCTTGAGTGCAATGAACCTAAGACTTATAAAGAAGCATTAAGGTCAAAATATTCTGAAGAATGGATTAGTGCTATGAAGAGTGAGATGGAATCCCTAAAAATTAACCAAACATGGAAACTTGTTCCTAAACCTGCTAGTTGTTCTGTAGTGGACTGTAAGTGGCTGTTTAAGGTGAAACAAGAATCTGAAAGTGTTAGGTTTAAGGCTAGGTTAGTAGCTAAGGGATTTACTCAAAAGGAGGGAATTGATTATGCTGAAATTTTTGCTCCTGTTGTCAAATTCACTACTGTTAGAATTATGCTTGCTTTAGTTGCTCATTTTAATTGGGAATTAAAACAAATGGATGTAACTACTGCTTTCTTGCATGGTGATCTTGATAAAAATATTTATATGCACCAACCTGAGGGCTTTGTGGACCCTAAATTGCCTGATCATGTGTGTTTGTTAAAAAAGGCTTTGTATGGTTTAAAACAATCACCTAGGCAATGGAATATTAGATTTGATAAATGCATGCAATCTTTAAAGTTTAAAAGGAGTTCTGCTGATCATTGCCTGTATTATAAGAATATAGACTCTGTGCCTGTATTTCTTGTAATTTATGTGGATGACATGTTGATTGTTAGTCCTTGTTTGAAGTCTATTGAGCATGTTCAAAAATGTCTTTGTGAAAATTTTGACATGAAAGACTTAGGTGATGCTAAAAGAATCCTAGGCATGAATATTATTAGGGACAAAAACAAATCTACTCTAGTTTTAAACCAAAGTTCATATGTTGAAAAAATTTTGAGTAAATTTGAAGGCTGTAATCTGAAGACTTTCGCGTAGATTGCTGAAGGTTACAATCTGACGACCTTCACGACAACCGATGAGAGCTCTACTTCAACAGCCTTCACAATCAACATCGGGAGTTACAATCTGACGACTCTCATATTTTCAAGGAGTCAAGATGAAGATTACAAGACAATGATCTTTGCAACGCTATGACAAAAAGAGATTACTTGGTGATAATCTCTGCAAGGCAAGACGCGGAGGTCCTCCCCGTGTTTCAACATCAAAACGCCAGGGTCAAACCCGTGTTTCAACATCAAAACGCCAGGGTCGAACCCGCGTTACAACATCAAAACGCCAGGGTCGAACCCCGCGTTACAACATCAAAACGCCGAGGTCGAACCCACGTTACAACATCAAAACGCCAGGGTCGAAACCCGCGTTACAACATCAAAACGCTAAGGTCGAACCCGCGTTACAACATCAAAATGCCAGGGTCGAAACCCGCGTTACAACATCAAAACGCCAAGGTCGAACCCGCGTTACAACATCAAAACGCCAGGGTCGAACCCCGCGTTTCAACATCAAAACGCCAAGGTCGAACCCCGCGTCACAACATCAAAACGCTGGGGTACGCCAACTCCGCGCTCCAGTCAAATGTGGAGGTAGGCATCATGAACGCCAAACGGTGGGCATGTTGACGTCATTCAAGCATGAGGCTGAACGGTTCTAAAACCGTTTTCGCCACGATTTTTGGGGGGCGGTGTACACCGCCCATTATGGAGAGAATTAAGGGGGCGGTTACACGCCTTAATTCCTAATAATATGGACTAAACTCAAACTGATTCCAGGGGTGGGCGGGGGGGTTTGGCTCGGATTCGGGATCCTGAGAATTGGCAGGCAAGAGGGGAGAATCGACGTCATCCTCAGGCTAAGATGCGACCACCAGAGGCTTTCTTCTACGGCCTTGCTTATTAACCGGATCTTGTTGCAAATCAACGATTTGTTAGCCAAGTTCTTCTAAACTCGTTCAGCAGTTCTCAAACTTGCACGGCAAGTTCCTCCACAAGCGTCAAATCGTGAGGAGAAGATATCGTTCCAGTGAAGGGCAACAACAGTCGATCGTCAACGTAGAGGCAATTTCGACGGTGAGCAATCGAAGGAGGGCATTACATACGCCACCGGTGAAGACCCAGTTTTAAGACAAAGGAGAGATCAAATCCATTCTCGTCCTCTTTTGTAATCAAGTTTGATAATCAAGAATCAAAAAGGAATGAATCATTTTCTTTATTCTTTTCATGCAATTTTTCCTACAAACAAAAGGATGGCGACTCTGCTTTTGCTTTGTAGGAAAATTGCAATGAAAAAAATAAAGAAAATTGATTTGTATTCCTTTTGATCTCGATTACAACTTGATTACAAAAGAGAGGAGAACGAAATTGGTTCTTCCTCTTTGTTTAAAACTGGGTTCTTCACGGTGGCGATGGAGTGCCTCCCTCGAATGCTTGCGTCGAGTTTGCTCTCCGTTGACGATCCGATGTCTTGATTCACTGGAACGATGTCTTCTCCTCACGATTTGACGTTGTGGAGAACTTGCGTGGCAAGTTTAAAACTCTTGATGAGTTGATAACTCTGAACGAGTTTTAACTCTTGAAAAAGAGTTGATTTGAACCGAAAGTCGGTTATAAGCCAAGGACAGAGGCTCTCTGTTGCTGAAGTTGAAGATGATCTTCGTTGGAAGATGATGTCGATCTCCTCAAAAGCCTGTCTCCAGTGGTCGATCCAAGCCAAGAAAATCCAACCTTGCTGCCAATTCTCAGATCCGAAAATGCCAGCCTTCAATGGTCGATTCCAGCCAATAAAAATCGAACCCTTAACTCAGTTGAGTTTGTTGAGTTTTTATAGGGGGATAAGAGGTTGTAACTGCCCTCTAAATCCGCTCCTAAGTGGGCGAAAATTCCTCAGAACGTGGGATAACGGTTTTGAGGCCGTTCGGCTTGTGTTTGAACAAGTCAAAACGCCCAATCTGGCGTTCAGAACCCAACTTTGCCTCTTAGAATTGAGACGCGAAGTTGGGTGTTGGCTGAACATTGATGAACGCGAGGGTCGCTCGCGTTTTGGTTTGTTGTAGCTTAGAAACGCGGGGGTCGGTGTTGGCTGGACCCCTACGAACGCGAGGGTCGCTCACGTTTCGCTTGTTGTAACGCGGGTCCGACTCCAGCGTTTTGATGTTGTAATGCGGGTTCGACCCTGGCGTTTTGATGTTGTAACGCGGGTTCGACCCTCGCGTTTTGATGTTGTAACGTGGGTTCGACCCTCGCGTTTTGATGTTGTAACGCGGGTTCGACCCTGGCGTTTTAATGTTTTGTCATAGCGTTGCAAAGATCATTGTCTTGTAATCTTCGTCTTGGCTCCTTGAGAATATGAGAGTCGTCAGATTGTAACTCCCGATGTTGATTGTGAATGCTGTTGAACTAGAGCTCTCATCGGTTGTCGTGAAGGTCGTCAGATTGTAACCTTCAGCGATCTACGTGAAAGTCTTCAAATTGTAGCCTTCTGAAAGTCGTCAGATTGTAACTTCCATCATCGGTGTTTGATGGAGGATAAGCTATCTATTGTGATTTTTAGACAGCCTACAATGTCAAACCCTGGTATACCTCATTGGAATGCCTTGAAGTGGCTTTTAAGATATTTGAAATCCTCTGTGGATGTAGGATTAACCTTTTGTAAGTGTTCTGAAGGTGTCAAACTTGCTGGCTATGTAGATTCCAATTATGCAAATGATAGGGATAATAGAAAATCTACCACTTCCTATGTGTTTACTTTGTGTGGCTCTTGCATAAGTTGGAAATCCCAATTACAACCCATTGTTGCTTTATCTACTACTGAATCTGAGTATGTTGCTGCCACTGAAGCTTTTAAAGAAGCTATTTGGCTTAGGGGCCTTATATCTGAAATTGGTTTTCTTGATAAAAATGTGGTTGTATTTTTTGATAGTCAATCTGCTATTCAACTTTGCAAAAATCCTGTTTTTCATGATAGAACTAAACATATTGATGTTAGATTTTATTACATTCGGGATATTGTTGAAAAGGGTATTGTCAAGTTAGAGAAAATTCCCTCAGAATTTAATCCTGCTGACATGGGTACTAAATGTTTGCCTGCTGAAAAATTGATATCGTGTCAAAGAATTTTGAATTTTGACTTTGGGTAATTTTCCTTTGCTTTGTGTGTTGCCTTTGTGGCCTATTAACTTGCTTTGTGCTTGTTAGTAGCTTTGTGTTTTTTTTCCCTTTGAACTCGATGACCGTTTGGTAGAGTTCGGTCCTTTGTGGACTTGGTATGCTTGGTGATTTTACCCCGATCTTTGTGATCTGAGTTTACTTAGTGTATTCTCTTCCAATGCTTGTATCTTCTTTGTGATTATACAGGTAATAATTTGGCGATGATGAGTCCTGCAGTTTCGTGTTTTTTTCCTTCTGTGCACTACCTTGGGCCAAAGGTGGAGATTGTTGTTTTTTGTTGGCCCAATAAGTTGGCCCGTTACTCTAAAGGCCCAGCTCCCCACTACTTGTGCCCTAGCCCCTCTATTTTCTTCTCCTACCCGATAGCTCTAAATCCCCTCCGATCTCTGTGATCTGATGGCCGCCGCTGTGAGTCCCATCTTCCATCCCTAGGTCGGCTCCCTCCTTTGTTTTCTCCCCTAGCCTCTCTCCCGTGTCGGCTGCCCCCTTCCCTATATAAGGGTAATGGGTTGGTAGTAGCTCGGTAGAGGAGAAAGAGGAAGAAGAGATAGTGAGGAGAAAACTGAGCTTGAGCTCTCCTCTGCTGTGTGCGATCTCCCTCCCTCTGTGAGTTTTGTGCTCCTGTGAGCTTTGTGCTCTCACCCCCTTTCTGCGATCCTCTTTGTGAGTGACGGGTCGAGGAGATCAGTGAGCTCTCCCCTTTGAGTTCTTGGTGGTGCACTGTGAAGGAAGAACAAGACTGATTTCGGCAGGTTTCTGAGCCAAACAAGCAACGACGATCTCCACAATCTATAGTCTGATTTTGCTCACCTGTGGCTGCGATGTCTGTCATAAGCAGGACTTTCAGCTCTTCCATAATTTGGACTCCCTCCCTGCTCCTCAGGCTTGCTGTAAGGGCTAGGACCACGATCATAATCAGGGTTATCCCTTTCCACTAGGGGTGCATTCGGTTCGGATATGATCTTTACCATAACCATAACCACTTTCTGAAAACGGATACGGATACGGTTCGGATATTCATCGGTAAGAAAAAAACATTACCATATCCACATTAAACAGAAACGAATACGGTTCGGATATTAGAGGTTCGGATAAGGTTCAGATACAGATACTAATCGGATATTTGGGAAATAGATATGAATAGGATATGACAAAAAATACATATAATTTTAATAACTAGCAAAGTAAGACAAGTAAGACAAGTTACCTCAAGACTCCGTTGCTATTCTGCATGACAAACCTTAGAACACCATAGCAGGCCCTAAACAAAAAATAAAAAATATTGAATACCATAACTAAAATGTGATAATCAACAACTACAGTTGACCTCACAAACTATAACTTTTCCTCTTTTTTCTTTGATTTTTCCTCTGTTTTATTAGAAGACTCTTCTACTGCGGGTTCAATGACCGGTTCAACGGGGGGTTCGATCGTGGGTTCTTCATTAGAAGCTTGAACTAGTGGATTAGACGACATGATTCTAATACTTATTCATTGAAATTTATAAACTTAATCAAACAAAAAATATAATGATGCAAATTATAATTATATATGCAACTAAAAACAATTAGGACTAATAGGTTAGGGATTTTTATCAAATAAATTAGGAATTTTCAATTCAGTCAACAAATGCTAAAAATTAGGGCTTTTATCAACAATTAGAATTCACCTTAGTGATATAACAAATTGAGGAGGAGACAAAGAGGTAGGACGTTGTTATCGCGTCGTCGATGGTCGTCGTCACGTCGATCAAGTTGAGGTGGCCGCAGACTTCTTGAAGAGGCGGAGGTGGAGCATCAAAGATGAGGCGGAGCTCGGCGGCGGAGGCCGAGCTCGGGCAGACGACGGGGCGTGGAGGTCGAAGCTCGGGGACGGAGGCGGGATCGAGAGTGAGGCTTGGAGGCGAGCTCGGCGGGCAGAGTGGGCGCGGAGGTAGAGCTCGGAAGGTGGCGAGATGCGGGATGCGGAGGCGGCGAGGCGGCATGAGCGCAGGGACGCGGGAGCCCGGCACAGAGCGGACAGGGAGGTCGGCGGCGGCTTTGAGGTGGACTGGTGGAGGCTGGGTGAGTGGGGGTGGGGTTTGGAAAGATAAAAATTAGGGTTTGAAGTTATAGGTTGAGTTGAATTTGGGTCGGGTTGCGGATGTATGTTATAGACCCGACCCAATACAGACCCAATACAAGTATTATACGTAGCTCATTTCAAATATCCGGATATACGAACCGTATCCGCAATTTCGACCCGATAACCGTATCCGAAACCGTATCCGAATAAAAAATTCAAACTATAACCGTATCCGAAACCATATCCGACCGGTTTTAATTTTTCCCTACCATATCCGCTTTCTAAACGTATACGGTTGCGATCGGTCCGGATAAATCCGGACCATTTTGCACCCCTACTCTCCACGCCTCTGCCATAAGGACTAGCTGAACGCCCACGATCGCGACTTCTCCTTTCTGGAGACCTCTCTTCCCCTCCTATCTTGGCTGTATCCATTTATTTTTTCATCGCCATGTCTTCTTTCATCATCATCCCGAGCGGCATACTCCACTGACATCACCCGATCGATTATCTTGCTGCAAATCTCTAGTAAAGCTGATTTATGTATCTAATCCAAAAATTTAACATGGGCAAGAGAAATAAGCTTTGAACATTAAAATGGTCAAAATTTAAACTTCGAAGTTGATAACAATACAAGCACCGTATGAGCAGGAGGTATTACAAGCACCACCTTTTTCGACTAGGGTCATGAAAAGAGAGAATTCACAGCCTTAATAAGTGTCTTGGAAATAAGTGTTAGCATCAGAATTCAGGACAATATAGTACTACACATCTTCATGATTAACACATCGATATTAAACACATACGAACTTAACCTAAGCTGTAAAATTTTCCCAGAACATGGTCCAGAAAACTCGGCATCAGTTTCAATCCCTTCTAAAAATTTCACTTTCAGCAGTTTTGGCGGTTCCATTAGACTACTTCAGCAATAAAAGGTTGCAGAACTACTTTCAATATCTTACCGAATAGGTATACAATTGATATAAAACCCAGTGATCATAAAATTATCGACTAACGCATATGTTTAAAGAGAAATAGTGATGCGGGACAAGACACCTAGGATGACTAAGCAAATATTGATCAAACAACACATGGATGACAGCAATCCCAGACACAACCAACATGCATGCAACTACATGAATATGCACATCCTAATGACTGATCTCTACAATGATAATAAAACCTAAATAATCAAATAGACAGTCAGGCAATAAAATCTATGTTATAACAGATATCAGATCAATTACAAGTCTAAAAAGTTTTATAGGCATGCAAAATTAACAAAGAAATACAAAGAAATGTGACTTTACCTGAGAGGGTGAGGAACTTGCATCCACATTGAAATCAATTGTTTCATTGGCAGATGGTTGTATATCTCATGTGGTATTCGTGGAACATCCAGTTCAATGACTTAGATTAAATGGAGGAGGATCGAAGAGACTGTATGAGATCTGTTCAGGGCTTGAACAGTGGTGGTCAGATCAACCGATTTGGTGAAGGGCCTTGAGGCGTCGGCAGGGTTCAATCAACGTCAGCAAGATCTCATCAGAGCTGAAGTTATGGTCAGCGAGCGTCATCGTGGGCAGCAGAAGTCGAGGAAGCACCGAAAAACAGGCGTCAAACTCATGGGGCTTCAAAGTCGGATCGTGTGACTCGGGTGATCCTCGGTGATGCTCTGGATGTTGAAGATGTGGCCAACGAGGCAGCGCAAAGAGGATTAATGAGGTCATCGGCATTGCTGGTGCTCAATCGGGAAAGACGAAGGATGGTGATGAAAGGTGGCGCTGATGGGCGGTGGAAGGCTTCTGGGATGGGCTGTCACGCCCCGAAACTGCAGCGGAAATTCTAAAATGCGGGGTGCGCGACGGTAGCGACCCGTGCACAAGATAATTCTTATGCATAGTCAAGCCTGACACTTCATATCACATAGTTTATCACAAAATATTCATAAACTTACTGATGATAGAAGTCAGAGCAACTATATATGTATATAATCAGTACTTACTGCCTATAAACTCACCGTTATAAACATTTTTATAAAACAAAATAAATGGTGCTGAAGATAACATCAAAAGAAGAGGCTCTCCATATAACGCCTCTCAGCCAAAAGCCCAAATCAAAAGTTCGGCTAGTATGAAGCTACGCTGGATCTGAAATTTTTTTAAAAACAATGGGGTGAGCTAGCGCTCCTAGATAACTAACAAAATAGTAATATGAATAATTCTCAGAAATAACGAATTACAAGTTTTGCATGAGAAATTCAAAAAGAGAAAAATATGATCCAAATATCATAATATTATCGTCTTTAAGAAAGAATACAACAATTATATTTTCTTTCTTATGTGCAACTTAATATACTGTGAAATTTCTTGAAATCAAACCCTTTTTGAATCAAGGTAAACATTAAGACGAAAAAGAATTACTAATTTGCACAAAACCAGAGAATTATTGCTTTCTCAATTTCACAGTCAATTATCAGAATCTTAATACTCGATGAGTTATTCATGAATGTAAAAATCACCCATAGGTCACACTAAGGTTACAAATTATAAGCCAGTAGCAAGGGAATGCGTAAAACACATCATATGACAGATAATTCCCGGGAATCGAATGCACCTAACACTGTCATAGGTTACTGCCCAAATACAGAGGGGACAGAACAAATTTTATCAATACAGAAGGGCCAATACAGAGGGGCCAAATAAAGATGCATTCACCATATGACAAACAGAAACAATCCATAGTAGACTATTTGAGGGTTTGAAAACATCGAGATCACATGTCAAATGAGTAATACACAGAAACAATCCATAGTAGACTATTTGAGGGTTTGAAAACATCGAGATCACATGTCAAATGAGTAATACTTTGCATATCAGAATTTATATTTGAGGGTTTGAAAACATCGAGATCACATGTCAAATGAGTAATACTTTGCATATCAGAATTTACAAATATTTTCAAATGAAGTGGATAAGGAAAAGTTCATTATATCAGTTAAAACAGTTTACGGATATTTAATTTTTTTCTTTTATCAGATATTAAGTCACGGAAAATCTTTGAATCCGTTAAACTGTTGAAAATACATTCCAATTACTTCATCAAAAAACATTTTCAGATAAAACAATGTCTACAATTAGTTGAAATTGCATGAGAGTCAAATTCGCTTTCATAGTGTTGGTCTTCTTGTTTTGATGATGTTTAACAAATAATTTACGACTAATATCGTTTGTCTAGTGTTTGTGTTTATCTATTTATTATAGATAAACAATATATTGGAGGATGGATGAAATTGCGCTTCAACGATCATATCCGATGGAGGTTGGCAGAATAGTGGATGAAGCCTATGCAATTCAAGTTGAAGATCCAAGTTCTAGCTTCATCCGCAATGTGTACCAAGTCAAGCTTATTGAAGATCAAGATCAAGCTTGGGTAACATTAGTTTAGGTTTATATTATGTGTGTTAGTACTTTAAGCTCAATCATATATACACACACTTTATATTGGTTTCCATGTATATATATAGTTATATATATATATACAACACAAGTTTTGTTTTTATATATATACATAGTTATATATACATATACATCTTGGTTTTTAGTTTTATCCACAAACAAAGTTTTTACAAATAAATTCCAAAAATTATGTATACATGTTTGTTTTCTATGTGGATAAGTTGTTTTGGTTTAATTTCATAGATATGAAACAAATATATATTCATATACATACTCATATATTTCATATTCTATTGTATTTGACAAAATATGGCCTTCATTGTTTATAAACTTCATAACAATAGTTTACATCTTTCTTTAAGTCTATAAAATCATTTTGTAGAGTTTTAAAAGTTTGTTTAAGTCAAATGTCAAAAACATGTATGTTTAGTTTTTATGTTTTTGGACTATTTTGAAAAATGATGATATTTTACATTTGGAAAGTCCTTTTTGAAAACTAGTTTTTATAACATGTTTATTATCATGTTTACAATCATTTTCCAAAGTTTTATATTTTTCTAAATTTATTTGATATTTTTAAACCTAGTTTAAAGTTGAGTTTTTCTATGCACTTCAGGTCTGTGCATGTTTAGTCGACTCATTAGTTGACTCATAAGTCGACTCACGAAGTGCAGCGCAGTTATAATTTTTCTTCTGCTGAGTCGACTCATTTAAGCCGACTCATTAGTCGACTTATAAGTCGACTCATGAGTCAACTCATAAGTCGACTTATGAAAGAGCCGTTGCACAGTAACGACTAGTTTCCACCAGTGTTTTCTGGGGTTTTTTTGTCTTTTTAGTTGGGTTTTGGCTGAGCTTTTGGGTGACTATATATACCCCCTTGCTCTCATCCTTCATATCTAAATAAGAGAATGTTTTAAGAAAGTTTAACAAGGGTTTAAGTTTTGTTTAAGTGTGTTTAAAAGCTTTTAAGCATTTTCGAGTTTGAGTTTGTGAATTCAATTCCACAAGAGCTTGAGGAGATCATCTATTGGAGTTTGAGCAATTAACTATTCTCCCTCCATCTCTTGTCATCTATTGAGAAATTTTCTAAACTCTTTTCTAGATTTATATTTATTTGTTTGATTATCATCTTATTAAAGCTAGTTTTATATTGAGTTTAGATTTGATTAATCTTATTGTTACACACACCCACTTGAGCTTATTGTATTTGCATTCATAATATATTTGGGGTTGTGAGAGATAGTAACATTGAGTTGAGCCTAATTGAGTTCTCACATTGTTTAGAGAACAATCATTTGTTGTGCCTAATTTGTGCAGTTCACTTTGTAATACACTTGTACACCGAGAGGAGTGTGTGGTGAGGACAGAGTCGATACCGAGAGGAGTGGCGTCGGTAGCTTTGTGAGAGGTGATAATTCCGAGCACTTGAGGGAGTAGATACGTGAGGACCAACACTTGAGGTTGTAGCTTGTGTATGTACTTTGTGAGGATTTGTAAGAGTTGTCGGTTGACTTGATAACCGAGTGTGTAGAGTTTTCGATTAGCTAGAAAACCGAGTGTGTAGAGAAGTTTAGGCTTCCAAACCGGGTTGTGTAGTGGATTCTCCTCAAGAGTGGGGAGCGGGGACGTAGGACGGAAGGTCCGAACCTCGTGAACATATAGCGTGTTTGGTTTGCATTAGCGCACTTATAACTGTTCATCTTATAGCCTATTGCATCTTGTTTGTTTCACCCTTGTGATAGTTTATATATCCTTGCATACATCATATAGTATATCTCATTGCTAGGATATATCACCTTTGTTCATATTTCATATTCTTGCTCATAAGTAATTGTACATCATCTTACAAGAACATATTTGTTAATAAGTTTTAAATTGGTATAAAATCGGATTAGATTAGCATAAACCCTATTCACCCCCACTCTAGGGTTATTTCATAGCGACCCTAGGGTCTAATAATTGGTATCAGAGCTTGGTGCTCTTTGATTTAAGGACTAATCGCCTTGAGTTAAAGATCCAAGTTATCTTATTTTTGTGCTAATCTAGTTTTGTGT